TCCACCTGCTCTCTAGGTGGGTTTTTGTCGATTAATTAAAAAATTATTGACCTGCAAATATTTGATCTTGTGACCAATATAGAGGAGATGAGATATTTTTCTTAAATTCTACAGCTAACTCGAGTGATTTATAAGCTATTATCTGCAGAACATCCATTTAAAATTAGCATTTGCATTTTGTGAAATATCTGGTCTTATGGTGTTGTGACTTCCCTTTCTAATATTATTTGCATGTGGGTGGTACAGTGAGACGGTGTACAGTACATCCTGGCCCTTGAGACATTTTGGGGGCCCCAGATACATGTTGGCTCGGGGTGGGGGCATCTTGTAAAAACACCTTTTACAATTTTGGTGCAATCTCATTTTAACACGCTCCCCTGGTACATTTCTTCCCCCACTCCCTCCGCGAGGTCTGCATGCACCCCTTTGTTTATAACAATCGGTGGGCATCAATGTCTGTGACGTTACTACGAGATTTTCATTGTTACTTTTTGCTGCAATTTCGAATACAGCCATTGTAGAATGTGTAAACGAGTGAATTTCTATGCCAGGTGAACAATTCCCTTTTTCTGCTTTTGGAAATATGGTACAGTATTATATAATTTTTGGATATTGCCAGATTGCGGCCTGATGTTGATATCTGACCCTGGAAGCCTATTTTGCTTTGTGCGAGCTGCATAAATTTAATGTGAATAACTGACCAAAAATAATAGGCGGGTAATTACAGTACTGCGTACGTTCATTGCAAATAACGTTAAAAACATTTTTTTTTTTACAAAGGTAATGGAACAACATCTAAAAATCATGTGGGGGAGGTGCATGCTTGGAATTTCACTGGGAGAAAAACAATCGGACATTTGAATATTGACCAAGTAGGAAAAGTAAATATGGGCTTTGGGTAAGACTCCTCCTTTACCTGGGACGATGGGCAATAACTTGTGACCGAGTCGCAGCCAAAGAGGGACACTTGGCCCAGAGTGACAACCGGTGGAGCTCACGCAATGAGATCGGTTACTGTGCAGGAGTGCGATGGACGGGCATGTCTGCACCGGACCTTGAGGATGGTGACCAAGGTGGTGTGGAGGTCTTTATAAACATTGAATGGTGATTGAATAAATTAAAGATGAGCAAGCTTTGTTAATTATTGTGCTCCTAATTAACTCGCTTTTTGTAACATTTTATGTAAAATATTTGTAAGTTTAAAAAAACATTTTAAGTTTAAAACAAGTTATCACGCAAGCATTTTCTACGAACACTAAACCACTTTAGTGTAAAATTGGCTTTCAAGCTCACCTTTTTATTTTCATGTAATTGAATGGGAAAAATGGTAGCGTTATCAATTTCTTAAACAGGTCGCGTATCCCAGCTCTAAATTGTAATTAATCTCTCTTCCCAGGTACAATATACTACAGGCAGTCCACAGTTACCAAGAACGGTCCTTACCCAGAAATTTTCTGTATCTTGAAACTAAACAATTCCCCAAAAATCAAGATAAAATCCCATAGCCGGAAATGGTTGTACGCTTCCTCCCCAACGTTCCTAGTTCGTTTTCTCTCGGTACTGTATCGTATCACTGTACATATGCTCTGCACTTCCTATGATTCTTTCATTTTAATCGATCTACTCTAAAACTACCCATAATTAAACCTAAGGCTGTATCCAATTATTTATGAATACCACAAAACATTTGAAATATTAATCGTTAACAGAAAGCGGTCTCTTCTGAAATGGTCTTTTACTGTGCATTAGGCCAGGCCTAGACTTTAGATTGCTGTTGGCTGAGATCATAAACAATGGAAGTGTAATTGTGTTAAGTACATACAGTAAATAACTCGTGAAATAACTTAAAATGAGGAGGAATTAGCAATAGAACCATGGAAAATAGTTATAAGCGTAGAAAACCATTTACGTAATGCTACAAAATGAAAAGAATCGCGTAACAATGCATTTTCCTTAATCCTAGTAAGGTGCGGTGAAGGTGGCGTTTTGGTGGAGCAGCTCGTTCCGTATTCATCCACAACCTCACCGCGCTGGACTATCTGCTTGTATAACTAACGCAAAAATGATTTTTTTACACGATTCATAGGAGCGTGTTTGTAAAGTCGGGCCTTCCGCAACCCAGGGACTTTACTGTACCTTAATTTTTTTCTTGGTATATCTGTAGTCAAGGCTGCCACCGTGGATGGCTTTCCCTACCCAGGAAGGGTGCCGCAATGACTGATGCTCAGGATAATGCATGAAGTCAAGTTGGTTGTTTTTATTCAGGTGAGAACTCAAAATTACCAGGAGTCTTAATTTTCATGACTGACCTGGCTTGCCAAAATGATCAAACCTAAGCAAATTAAATGAAGTACAGCAATGAAGTGATAGAAACTAGAGTAAAAACGATAGTTGTAATGAGAAACTGATTTTTACTACCCAAATGTAAATCTGTTTTTTTTTAATAAATCAAAATCCCTGCAGTGTAAGTCTGCTTGGGTAGATTAGTATTAGACTGACTGGTCATTCTGGAATTGTGTGGTTGGTAATGATAACTGAATTTAGTTGTCAATTTGCTCACATGACCTCTGCAGCCACAAGGGGTGTGAAATGCAGCATTATACAAAAATAAATACCATTCATCTCCTGAATGGCATCACGAGGGAGGTGAGTTGTTACAAGTCTCGTATACAACACTAAAATTTACAATTAACTGACTTTTATCATTTGGCATAGAAAAAGCAAACATTAAATGTTCAAACCCTTTAAGCTGCAGCATATTAGAAATCTTGCATTTAGTGTTTTTGTATAATTAAATTTAGCAGCCACCAAAAAATCCCTTAATTCTTTACGGTTATAGTTAACCAAAAAACACGATGTTACAGCCTTGCATGTTAACTACATTTGAAATTAAGTGTGGAATTGTAGGCCAAAATGACCATCCAGTTGGGGGTGCCCTCGAGTTCCCTCCTAAGTGGGGAGGGCCTTTCGTCAGCAGTGGCTTGAGCAATCGCTTGCAGGGCCGCACCTCTTTTACACGAAGAAGCATCGTGTCCATGGGGTATTGTTGTGCTTCCACTGCCAATTCTGTCGAGGCAGGTGGGTGAACTTAAACGGAGACTGTTTGCCCGCCTGAAAGGTCTCCTTGCATATGCAACTCACGTTTCGGTCACAAATAGTTTTTTTTTTTAAACTGATTGCTTACAGTTGGCTCCTGAAGCACGTTTTGCCCAGGAAAATGTTCAAACCGTTAGATGCCGCAGAAGTTTAATTGAGTTACCCCAGGGTCCTTTGGAACACCACCTGTCTAGAGTAATATACCGTCCTGTGGTATATGGTCGATGCTGTGGTCTGATAGCTACTGCAAGGAAAGAATATTGTTGCATCGACCCCCATCATTTGGCCTTGAAGTACTACACCGCCATAAATACAATTAACAGCACATCCATCGATACTTTATTTTTTATGAAATGAAAACGAATCTGTATTCCATCTTGTATTCAAGTGTCTATGCTACAAAGAACTGCATTTATCAATTGCAGCACAAATGATGTTTCACACCAAGTTATAATTTAAAAAATTTAAATCTTCAGACTAAATACAGTTGCTTATTCTACGAATGCTTTTCAAAGTAATATTTTAGCCACAGCCTCTTTAGTGGTATTACATTTTGAAACATGGCATTTGCGACTGAACACTGGCGTTTTGTAAATACTTTCTAAAATACTGTAGAATAAGTAGATTGAAACACTCCTATATGTGAACCTTTTTTAAGTAACGGGTTTCATATTTGAAAAATGGCACGATAAGACGTGTCATCTGTCAACCCACTGCTGGATGCATTCCTTCCCAAGTCGTTGCCATCTCCTCAGTCCTGTGTAACAAACCAACTGGCACCTGCAAGAGGAGCTGATTTTGCATTGCACCGTCCTCTCGGATGTGTTCTATCCTGTGGCTTGCCACTCGTCTTGACCCACTGCTATCATCCCTAGTGTTGAAGTGCCCTGCACGAGCAATGCACGATGGACGTTCGGCGCAAATTGTGTTCTCCTGAATTTACACGACGAATCAAAATCCACTTTTCTCCACTTGCAGAGATTCATCCGTGTCTGTTGGCAGACCGTGTTTGATTCATGAGGCCACCACTCTCTGTTATTGTTGTGAGAGTCGTGCGGCACAATTGACTGCTCGTGTAGGAAAGCGGCCTTATTGACGCTGTTGGGAGGAAAATCGATACTCTGCGCTGCCGTGTGTGAGGGAAGGCGTTGGGGCTGATATTGGTGAGGAGTTGGCAGACGAGTGGCAGATTGCAACTCCTCACCCGCACAATCCCCAGACTGGTTGCGGGGGGGGCAAATTCTTAGGAGGATGAAGGAGGTCGGAGGATCAAACCGCAGGGAATGACGACCATCAACAGGGCCCACATTTGCGGTTCAGGAAGATCCGGGGAGATTAGGTTGAGGTAGTCTTTACTACCATCTGCCTAAATTTAGCTCGCCCTTACTATAAAATATTCTTATAACATTTGTGCTCGAGCATGGCACTGGCTGAAACATTTATGCAAGTTGCTATTTTGTTACGTAACATTCTTTTTATAGTCCAGCACTGTACCATGTGGAGCTTTGTGTTGCATGAAAATACATTTGAATTTTTTGTGGCATGAATTTGGAGCAATTTGTAATTATTGGAGTAAAACCCCAAACCGTTGAGCCAAATACAATCCCCAAAAGATTGCTTGCGATTTAGAAATGTGTTTTTGGCGGACACGTACACTAATAAGGTGTTCTGCTCCTGCGCATGTTGAAATTATGTTAAGGTGTATCGTACCATGCCGGCTTTCATTGTACCGTGCAAATGTTAGGCCACTTGGGATCGGTTGTGCTTTTCTCTCTTTCCTGGTAGTGGTAATGCCAGGCCAGACACCTAAAGGTAATTCGACCAAAAAAATTAACCTGCAGGGACCATCTGTAGATGGGGGGGAAAGAAAGAAAAAAAGTCCCTCCGGTTGTGTGCTCCTCCAGAAAGTGGTGATGCCCCTCTGTGTGGGGTGCGGGCGGCAGTAAGCGCAGGCGCACGGCATGCGCGCAGCATCGGGCTACTCCGAGTCAGAGCACGATCGCGTGGATCGCGCCGCTGCTGCCCCTGGGCCCACCGGCCCGACAAGCACCACCGGCCACGGGGGAAGCGCCGCCACCGCCGCCACCTCGGCGACGAGCGCGGACGCCAGGCCCTGGCCCGTCCAGCGCTGGCTGCTTCGCTGCTTCGCCCGCAGGATGCTGTGCCGCTACCGCGGCGTAGGTGACCGTGCGGAGCCCAAGGCGGTGGTGCGTGGACCGGAGCGTCGCGTGGAAAAGTTGCCGACCCTCCTCGCGCTCTCCATGGAGGGCACTTGGGAGCCTGTTCCCCGGTAACTACATCCCTCCCTCCTATTCTTGCGTTTTTCGCTCGTGCGCAAAGGGATCGAACACTCCCCCCTCCCTGCAGCGCGTGGCTGTCGAGAGTGCAGACGGTGAAACTTGAAAGCGGTGTCCCCCACAAGCTGGAGCGATGTTCTCCACTAACTTTCACTTTCCCCGATAAGGCATCCCAGTGTGAGGTCGCCACACCACCTACCAAGGGTGTTTTTCAAATGTTGTGTATTGTCGGGGGTCAGCACTCGAGGCCACTGGGGGCCGCCAGGTGGCCTTACTGGCCTTGCAATGAAGAACACCGAGCTGGAGGGTCTTGTATGTTGTGCTAATAAAGGGGTGGGGAATGAACCGGGTGGTGCAATTTTTTTTCTCAATTCTTGCACTAGGATCCATGCCAACCCCCATGCTCTGCCACTGGGGAAGCCTTTTTTGGCTTGGGGTAAAAACAATTTTTTTCATACTTTTTTTTGGCTTTTCCACCGATCGGCTGCTCTGAGTCTCTCATTTCAATTCTTGGCTGTGCAGGTGCAAACACATGAGTTTCGCGAGGGCAAGTGCTACGTTTATTGGCCAAGGCCGTCAACTCCTGGATGGTCGTGTGTCAAGATTTGCTCCCTTTGATTTTTAATACCTGGATGCGAACTTTCTTTGAAATATTAGTAGCAAATCATTTGTTTGTTTTTGGCTCATCTTGCCTGTCGTTTTGTGAAGATAATATTAATTTAGTTGTACTGTTGTCAATATTTATAGTTTTACCCATAATGTTGTCATGGGGGGGTGGGGGGCGGGCGATGTTTGACTATACTTCGCTCTGCTCATCAGGTATTGGTGATGGTGGTTTTTGTTGCCCGGCACCTTGAGACGATAATTGCTCGTCACCGATGTTAGCCGTCACAAACTGGTCACGAGGTTCGCCAACCAATGTTGCAGCTTCTCGCGTTTTTCTAAAATGTGTACATAATTGCTTACAAGCCATGGTTTATTCTTTGGGTCTTTCGGTAAAGTCATGTAGATGGGTTCAAAGAAAATAACAACACATCTTGCCTTCTGCACATGAGCAGGTTTCGTTATCTATGTTTGAACTCCTTTCGCATCGTATGTAGCAAACCATGTTAATCGGTGTCGGGTTTGACAAACTAAACAAAGCCGTCCTAAAGAAATGGTTGCACAGCTGTAAAACTGCACGTGAGTTTTACCCAAGTTCCGTGATAATAAATAGTCCCATAACTATCACAAGGTTTATTTTAATAATAGGTTTTTACCCTTCCAACTGGTACAAAAACTGACGCCTTTTGGCGTCATCTGATCCAACACCAATGGAGACTAGGCTCTAAGAAAAACTGTCTCGGGTGTGGACCAATCAACTTAAAGGACAGTGCATATCATTATCAGAGTTGTTTATTTTTGTTTGCATTTTGACTGCTTGTGTTGTGGTTATTGCAAACATGATGCCTTGTATAAAGGTGTCAGTTTTTGTACCAGTTGAAAGGGTAAAAACCTATTACTATATTTTGCCACTGGTAAAGGAGGTCTCCTAGTGTAAAGGTTTATTTTCATTGACTAATCTTTTACTTTACACAAATATTAGGGTTTACTTTGAAGCCCAGGTTTATACTTTAATGCATAATTTGGAGAGTCAAGCTGTAGTATTATTTGATAAAATACAATACTTTAAGCCTCGTCTAAACATGTACTGTCAAATTACATGCTATGAAAGCTGCTCGCATAACGTTTTTACCACACTTTAATGAAGTGGAGCTGTTGGGTGCCAGCGTCACCTTTATCACTTATACGAAAACGCTGCTGAAGCATGCTTAAGCATGTTGTGTCCCTTGATCATATTTAAAACTCGTGCTATTGAGCCTCATCCAAACATGCCCTGCGTAAAAACCGTGGTTTACTTGTGATAAATAATTCAGTCTTTTGCTGCACCGCGCGCGGCTTGTCCGATGGGAGCCTCGAAGGGGATGTCTGGCACGTCTCCTGGGCCCGCTCCATGCACGGCCAGCCTTCTGTATCGGACCGGCCTCCCGCTTACAACACGCGTGAGCCCCAGCGCACGTGGTGTGTTCGTGTGGAGTGGCAGCAGAGCGCTCGGCACGCTGCGCTACGAACCTGGCAAGCCCCGGGAGTTCAATTCCCGCTCACGGCCAACACCAGGTGGTGATTATCTGACCTGGTCCTGAGCCTCCCCTAGGTCTACTCGGCCTCAAATGAGTACCTGGTGCGGTGTGTAAACATTGTCACTTGGGGGAACAAAGGTGGCCGGGCGTGGTGCTGGCCACCCACCCACTCGTGTGCCACGCCGGCCTTCATAGATGCTCGCTTTAACAGCACTTGCTCCCACAGTCTGTTAATGCTTTGTTCGTATGTGTACGTGCAGTGTGAGATCGTTTGTGAACAGATAAAAAGGGTGAGCACGTGCAGTTTGGGTGGGGGGTAGCAGTGCGTGGGGAGGAATAAATAATTTGACAAGTTTGACGGACGGAATAAATTGTATCAGAACGGAGGTGAAGCAAGTCCCGCAAAATACATTTTCTTGCCGCTTCATTAACGCCCCACTGCATAGAAGCACCGCAGCAACGACTATCCGTGCAGAATTGTTACACAAGCCAGTATTTTTATTGTTTGAGATTCAGCCCTGAGACAAATATGGACGCGCAAAGCTGTGTTGCAGCGCAAACAAAGCAAACGTAACGTTTCCTCTTCTTGGTTCTTTCGGTAAAGTCACGTAGAAGGGAATTAATAATCATAAAAATAAAACATAATAAAATTCAGACGCTGTCTTTCTGACAGACCTGTTTCACCTGAGGACGGCTGCTTGCGTTGTGGCCGAAACGTCGTGAGAATTGTATTTTATTATGTTATATTATTTTATTATTTCCCTTCTACGTGACTTTACCGAAAGAACCAAGAATATTAATCCCTGCAGTCACGAAAGCTTTAAATCGAAATGTAACATTTCCTATGAACAATGTGTTCATTTTCCACATTTTGATTATGTATATAAAAAAAATACTCGTCCCGTGCCATTTTTGAGAGGCTGTTTCGCAGGCGGATCCCTAGCGGGCAATTTCGTGCAGTTTACATTGGCTGTGACCACCCACGGGGCCCAGGTTGCCACCGGCACATCCCTGCCCCGCCAGGATCGGTCTCCTACGTCTCCTCTCGACTGGATGCCCCTGCTGTATGCACGCCAGGAGCGCGGCTGACATTTGCCGGCCAGGCGTTTCATTCTCACATGGCTTCCCCTTTTTCAGACGGCGCAAGTCGGGGTTGGTGGGACGCCGTGTCCAGCCGGACGTCACGCTGCTTAAAATAAAATAAGCACGGAAAGCCGTTTTGGTGTTACGCTCTGGGGAGAAACGTGGTGTGTGTGTGGTTTTGTATATTTTTTTATGTACGTTTTGTATTGCAATACCATTTGATCAGTTGTAATGGCGAAATGTCAATGTTTTTTTATTTAGCATGGTACTGTCGTGATTTTTTTTATTTTTAAATGTGGACTATGTACAGGTATAATATTAAAACTGGTCGGGAATTCCGTTTCTGTTTTTGGCTGTATGCATAAAGCAGCAGCAGCTTGCTAATTGGCAACTGCGTATTATAGATGGTGAATGATAATTGGGCTTCGGTCCAGGTGTAATTTAAATTGAGGAACGGGAGCCTTGTGAGCTGCAATATATCTTTGTGCGACATAATATCTGGATGGGGATTCAATAATTTATTAGTCTATGTAATGACGGTACTATGGATTTTTGTTGTTTGGATTTTGATTTTTTTCCTTTGCACTTTAACAACCTTGTACATTGAGAGGGTTTCAATGTTCACTTCATAGCACTTTCATGACTTGGTAGCAGGCATGCACAGGTATTGTCCACTTGATGTTTGCAAACTAGCTTATGTTCGACCAGCAGGTACTTACTGGCTGGAATGTTAAAGCAATTTTATGTAAACCATTTGCTAATCCGTTGTAAAAAATGTGACCAATTCTCAAAAGATTGTGCTGTACATTTTTAGGTGTAATCTGGGAAAGAAGACGGTGGGGGGTATGTGCTTTTAATTAGTAGGGGAGGTTCAGAGGTGTGTGAATTGATGGGTTTGTCTTTCTGATGCAATTAAAAAAAGTTGTCCCAAATTTTTATTTTTTTCATTAATGCATTCAAGAACTGAAGAAGCCCTTTTAAAACCCTACACGTTACGGGTTTTAATGTAATGGATTCGTTCAGCTGTAGCAAATTAAATGTGTAATGTACATTGTATAACATTTGAGGGTAATGCTTCGTATAGTTTACAACAGTTACATTGCATCCTAGGCCTATGGTGAAATTGCCATCGGATTTCTGGAAGCTAATCTGTTTGAGCCTGCATCCAAAGTTGTTATAGGCTACTAGAGAGCTGTGATTTGAGCATCTGAGTAGTCCAGCAATTTACATGGTTCTACAGTGCTTGCCGAGTATTCTCCCACATCTGTAATTCCCGCTGCCTTCACAAACCCACACTTGACCAGCCTTAAGGATGGTCAAGGAACTTCTATGGGCCTTCATTGACGCAAGGATGCCCTCGGCAGTGGACTGATCAAAAGGGCTGCACATGAAGTACTTTTTAAACCCATTTCTGAAATGACGACCCTCTGTACACCAACAGTAGTACTGGTGATTGTTCGACCATGCTATATATCACGGTAGTACGGTTAAGGGAGTACAGATAATTACCTGGTGAGAGTCCAGATCGTCTCCTAAGCACTGATTTTAATTGTTGTTGCCATACCTGGGAATATAACTGTGGCCTGGTCTGTTGCACATTGTGCTAACCACTGCCACTAGTTAGGGCTATACCTAATAAATGAACTTGAACTGTGAGCTATTCGGCTCTTGAATCGGGTGCAACCGCAACAAACAAAAAACAAAAACACGAACAAGAAAACATCTTAAAGTGACTATGTGACTAAGTGCAAACAGAAAATCCAAGTAAAAACAGCAAAATATTGCAGAAA